GGGAAGTGGTGAAACACCCATCTGTGGAGTCTGTGGTCCAGTGCGAGATCGATAAGGATGTCACTGAAGTCTCTAAGAAGTTCCTGCCTGGTATGGCCATCGGCTATTCCAGCTCGAAGCTGACCCTCCACGTGGGTGATGGCTTTGAGTTCATGAAACAGAACCAAGATGCCTTCGACGTCATCATCACCGACTCCTCAGACCCCATGGGCCCCGCTGAGAGCCTCTGCAAGGAGTCCTATTACCAGCTCATGAAGACAGCACTCAAGGAGGATGGCATCCTTTGCTGCCAGGGTGAGTGCCAGTGGCTGCACCTGGACCTCATCAAGGAGATGAGGCACTTCTGCAAGTCTCTCTTCCCTGTGGTGGGCTATGCCTGCTGCACCATCCCCACCTACCCAAGCGGCCAGATTGGTTTCATGCTATGTAGTAAAAACCCGAGCACCAACTTCCGGGAGCCCGTGCAGCAGCTGACACAGGCCCAGGTGGAGCAGATGCAGCTGAAATACTATAACACGGACATGCACCGCGCAGCCTTTGTGCTGCCTGAGTTCACCCGCAAGGCCCTGAATGACTTAAGCTGAGCCTAGGTGCCCCTGCAGCACCACCCGAGACCTCAGTCGGACTGGACCAAGGAGCTTCCAAGGTGTCTAGGGCCCCGCCAGCCCTGAACGAGACTCCCAGTGATTCTTACCCACCAACCAAGTGTTATAGGCCCCAGAATGCTGCCTGGCCTGCCCTGTTGGGTGGACTCAGTCTTTGTCTGTCTCTTTGGCGTTTGGTCCCAAGCCTAAACCAGCTCTGTACAGCACCGTCTATGCCCTCTGTCACCTAACAAAAAAAATGTGTATTTATAATAACTCAAAAATATAATGTTAAAATGCTGATCAGAACTTAGATCATTTTACACTTTAATATCAACTTCTTTCTTTTTGGTGTTGCCAGAGTTTGAACCTAGAAAATTGAACATGCCAGGCAAACTCTCTACCACTGAGCTATAACCCCAGCCCCCAATATCAATTTGTTTAAACATCCAAGGTGTTTTTTTTTTTAACTCTAGTATCTTAGGGCTGGTATGGCCAGAAAATATTTCACTACAAATGGCTGCCTTGAGCTTTCGAGGTTGTTGGGCAATCTGTGAGACTCTATAAGGCTATTGCTCACCCCCAAAGCCAGCATTTCAGCTGGACAGACATGTCACGGATATCACTCTAAGAGACTAGAGCAATAGTTCTCTGGATCCAGCATAAGAAGTTACACAATCATATTAGCAGTACTCCATTGATTGGTATGAGAAAATTCCAAGGCTGGTCCAGATTCATGGAGATGGGAGCACATATGTCATGAAAACTGGAGATACAGTCCACTAGAAAACCTGAAACCTGACTAGGATGTGGCTGCATCAATCTCGCGTTCCTTTCAGATCCCCAGTAATCTGACTGTTTGCCCTTTTAATGTTGTCTCAAAGTTACCATGAGTGTATTTCATCCTCTTCATTTTTACTCTTCTGTTATTTTCAAATAGCCTGCCTCGGAGTTCACCCATTCTCTCTTCTGTTTGGTTTACTCTGTTATCAATGCTTTCTTAATGCATTTTCATTTTGTTTAGTGCAACTTTAGGCTCAAAGATTTCAATTTTTAAAAAAATTGTCTCCACATCTCTCTCAATGTTACCTGTTAAAGTACTGAATTATCTATTTTCTATTGCAATTCAGTAGGTTTCCTTAAACTTGATTCGCTGGTTTGTTTGCTTTTAATTATCTGTGGCAATTTCGATGAGAAATGTTCCCCAGAGACCCAGCTATTTGAACACTTGGAACCTAGTTGGTTGTGCTGTTTAGGGAGATTTAGGGAATGCAGCCTTACTGGAGGAAGTACGTTAGTGGCGGGGGGGGGGACTTTGAGAATACATAGCTTCACCCCACTCCCAGTTCACACTTTTTGTTTCACGCTTTCCTTTGAGGATGTGAGCTCTCAGCCTCCTGCTCCAGCCATTACACCTGCTGCTTGCCACCATGCTTCCTTACCATAATGGACTCTTATCACTCTGAAACCATAAGTCAAACTAAACTCCTTCTTCCATAAGTCAGCTTTGGGTCATGGTGTTTTTATCACAGCAACAGAAAAGTAATAATACATTACTCTGGTTATTATCGGGACAGTCTTTGATATTTTATTTTACTGTTAGATGAGGTCACAGTTCTTTGAACATCGTTGATACTGATTGATATATGACATAATCTGAAGGAAGGATTGGGTATTTATCCCAGTCTTCATAATTTGGCATGTTTTACAGGTTTTGTTAGATTTCAGAAATTCAAGTCAGCATGCTTATTTTTCAGCCTATAGTTCTATCACTAGATGGCACCAAAGTTCAAGTTGCCTGTTGCAGTACTAGAAAGCAATTCAAGTTTGGGGTTCACCTAACCTCTCAGCTGGTTAGTGTTTTAGACTCAGTTAGGGAGCTCTCATAAAGGTAGCTCATCCACACGAACCTCTTCCTGGGGCTTGCATCGGCCTACAGTGTGTCTTCCAAAGCCGTCAGTCCGGGTCATGAACTGTAGAATTCTGTGAAGCTCTAGAGAGAATCACCAGAGGGACCAGCCCTGGGTTGGTACTCCACCACTGTGCTACCAGCCACAGTAATCCAGAACTGTGGCTATAAATGCTGAGCCCACAATACACCAGGACCAACAGAGCACTGAGGAGAGAGACCAAGTCCTGTACTGCAATGGGCTGCTGAATGCTGTTGGGAACTCAGCCCTGACTGGAACAGAAGCTTGCTAGACTTGGACAGCAAGTCTTCCCTGGCATTGGAACTCTTCAGAAACCCTGTCTTCATGCAGGACTCGAGATGGGGACTGTTGGGTTCTGCTTGCCCAGTGTTGAGTTTCAGAAGCCCAGCATTAAGTCCTAAGACAAAATCCTGTGTTTTTACCCCATCCCACCCTGATGAATAGAGTCTGGGTACATGTGGTTATACCCAAGCTTTGGACGGTGTTGACGAGATCAGTCCTTTGGCCATCCAAGACGACATTAACCCATGTCATATCTAGATTTCACAGGTATGGCGTACCTACATAGACTCAGGGTATATCCAGGACCATGCCAGACCCGACAGTAAGGCAAGCTAAAAAGTATAAAACTGTGCCAAGGGTCAAGGTCTTGAGCTCCAGCTGTGAATACTGGCCCAGGATAGTTGTGCAGCTGAAGTTGGGAATCGGTGATGGCAACACTCTCTTAGGGCAGTGGTTCTCGACCTTCCTAATGCTGTGACCCTTTAATACAGTTCTTTATGTTATGGTGCTCCCAACCATGAAAATATTCTCATTGCTACTTCATAACTGTAATTTTGCCATACATCATTAAGAACCTGGACTTTTTTCTAAAAAAATGTGGTTTTAGGGGATTAAATTCAAGTCTCTGCACTTAAAACAGTAAGAACCTATCAGTGATCTCAGTGCTGGTGGAACCCTGGGCATCCTGTGATCCAGGCCTGAACCTGAAGATGCTACTGCTGGGCCTGTGATAATCAGATGGCCAAGACTGCGGTTAGGAGTCTTCCCTCACAACCTCGGCTTGTAGAATAGAAAGCAGGACTCTGCCTATTGGGTAACACGAAAGCAAGGACTCTGACTTGGAGCTCAGTGTCAGCCTTAATAGTCCCTAAGGCAGGGGTTCTCAATCTGTGGGTTTCGACACCTATGGAAGTCAAAGGACTGTTACACAAGGGTCACCTAAGACCATTGGAAAACAAAGATGCTTACATTACAATTCATAACAGTAGCAAAATTACAAAAATACTAAGATGTGGTTATAGATGAGATGAGACTTGGTTCTGTACTGAGTGTTTTTCGGAAGAGAAACATAGAGGTTTACCATACTTCCTACTTCTGCATATAGCTAAAACTTTCCACTAAAACAAATGAAAAACTAAGTGTGGTGATTCATGCTGTACTACCAACATTTAGAAGAAGAACCAAGAGGACCATGCCATCCTGGACCACAGAGCAAGTTCTGGGTCAATGTGGGATACAAAGTGAGACCTCTGTAGTTGTTCTGAATTATGAAGGAACATTGGAGGGAGAAAGACACTAAAGAATGTAATAAGCTCAGCAGCAGGGTGAATCAGTCTCTGATGGATTGACTGGCTAGCAGTTGTGCAAGAGCACTTTTATTGATTGTTACAGAACAAAAGGCCTTTTAGCAAGTCAATCCCCGCATGCCAAAGTCTCTTCTCTGATCTAGAAGTTGTCCTTACCTAAGCACAGTCATTCTAAGAATTCCAGGTTTGCCAGGAATGTCTTATGACTGAGGTCATGCTAAGGTTCTGAAATTTCCCAAGAAAGAGCAACCTCCTAACTCTCCGGTGACAATCACTGATTATCTGCCAGAGATGACCTCAAGGCCTAAGTGGCTAGCACTCCAGAGTAAATCTTACCTAAAAGATAGATAAGTAAATAAAAACCAAATAGTCCTGTAAAAATGTACTGCCCTCCCTCGCTTTTCCTGGCTGTTCTTGTCTGCCTCTATGACCAAGTCATTATCAAACTTTTCTTTGGCTGTCTCCTTGTCCTAGTCATTAAATATTAGTGAGTGTGTTGGTACCTCTTCTGTACTAGTGATTGATGGGGTAGGGCCAGTCCATTGTGGGTGGGGCCAGTCCTGGGCTGGTGGTCCTGGGTTCTGTAAGAAAGTAGGCTGAGCAAGCCGGTAAGCAGCACCTCTGCATCAGCTCCTGCCTCCAGATTCCTGTCCTTACATCCGTAGATGATAAACATAGATAAGGAAGTGAAAACCAAATGATCCTTTTCTTCCCAACTTGCTTTTTGGTCTTAGTGTTTTGTCACAGCACTAGACTAAGACTATCACGGTGTACGTGGGTTCACTGAAAGAAACCTCAGAGACACTTGAGAATGAATCTGGCCTTTTGAGGCTGCAGGGGTCCTCAGCCTCTATAAACTGAAGCACCTTCACTTTGCCCAGGGCATTTTTATTTTTCCATATTTACAATTATACTAGTTGATCTCCAAATGCTCAAAACAATCTGAATGAAGCTTCCAAAAATACAATGCCAAACACAACGTCTCAATGGAGGAATGTACCATGATTTTCAGAGTTTCCCTCCCAGCTAGTTTTGCATAGGCTTTGCATCCTTGTGAAATTCTCAGATAAGATTCACATAGGGCAATAAAAAGTATCTCTAAAATAAAGGATAGATTAGGATTAGGTGCTAATACCAGAGGCAGGCCAGCTGGGGTTGAGGATAGTGTTAGGGCTAGTTTCTAACTCTTTGGTGCCAGGCCAGGAGGAATTCTGCCACACTAAGACACTGTGTCTTAGAATTTGTTCCCGCTGGGCAGTGGTGGCACATGCCTGTCATCTCAGTACTCAGGAGACAGAAGCAGGCAGATCTCTGTGGGTTCGAGGCCATTGTGGTCTACAAAGAGAGTTCCAGGGCAGCCAGGGCTGTTACTCAGAGAAAACCTGTCTGGGGAAAAAAAAAAATTGTTTTCAGTTGCTGGCCTACCTTTATCCTTCTATCCTGAGTAATTTTTAAATCCTATTCTATAGTAAATGAATGCATTAATTAAGAGTTTCTCAGTGGGAAACATGGTAAAATTCTAGTCTGTTTATTTCTTACTTGGACTTAGACCTTACTTCTAAGTTATAGCTATGTGTTCAAACACTTTGGACAGGTCTTGCTCTGGAAGCCAAGATGAGGCCCATGAAGCCAAGGGAAAACTTTGGGCTGAGCCTTTAAGAATCCATTAGGCAGGTCAGAACACTCAGTTACAATTTCTTCTGAGTAAGGTCTCCACTGGTCCCTTTGGTGCTAGTGAACTGGACCAAGAGTATGGACTGAATCTGAAAAATGGGACATAACCAGATCTCTTTTCTTTTCTTTTCTTTTCTTTTCTTTTCTTTTTTGTGGTTTTTGAAAATAAGGTTTTCTCTGTGCAGCCCTGGCCATCCTAGAACTATCTCTGTAGACCAAGTTGGCCTCAAACTCAGAGGTCTGCCTATCTCTGCCTCTGGAGTGCTGGGATTAAAGGCATGTGCCACTCCTGCCTGGTATGACCAGGGCTTTCTTACCAATTTAAGTAATTTTGTTGTTATAAATACTTTCTTCTGGCTGTTGTAAGGTACTTATTTACTTTTCAACCTTGCCTAAAATTGTTTTCTCATATTGGAATTCGGAGAAAGGAGAAAATGTTTCTGTCAGAGAAGCTTAGAAATCAATGTATTGCTCATTTGGAAGTACAGCCAAAGAGTACCTGGTAAGCCTTTTGGAACAAGAACACTTATAATGAAATAGCTTGTATCCCCCTTAAAGGCAACATTCACTAAGTCACCTACTTGTAATTGTCAAGCCCTCCACATCAGAATTTAGGGGCTTTTGAGAGTAGAGTTTGAGTTCCAGATTTTATCACTTCAAAGTTTGGTCTTGCCATGTCATTTAACTTTTTTCTAGGGCTGTTTCTCTGTAAAATAGATAAACTGGGCAGTTGCAAAAGACATAAAAAAGAGATAAATGTAAAATTCTTGCAATTCATTACTATTTGATAAATTTAAGTCTTGGGGTCTTGATCACATTGTAGTACATTGCTTTCTAATGCTAGCTTTCTTTACAAAGCCCGGCTTGGGGCATGCCATGTGGGTTTTAAGGACTCAGCATGAGTTTGACTTCCTTACGAAAATACTTTACACAGACTGTAGTGTTTATTTTCGTCGGTTTGGGGAAAAACTGGGAAGAGGGGAGTCAATATTCTCCCAAAGCTTCTTTAAGTCTACAAACCAGTCACGCCCTCCCCGCTATCCTACTCCACCCCAGCTTCCCTCAGTACCCACAGCGCCCGAGCGCGTGACCACAGGACATTAACAGGAGGCAGGAAAGCCTGAGAAGAAAGTCACCAGGGACGTCAGTCACATCATCTTTTCCTCACGTGGCCTGTGATGCTGTAAATCTCCGCAGAAGATCGCTTCTACTCTCTTCCTAGGTTCTTCAGGCTGAGAAGAGGACGCAGCCTAACAGAGACGCGCGCACCTGCTCAGCGACCCCGCCTCCGAAGCAAGAGGGCGGGGTTCTGCAGAAGGGTCGCTTGCTGCTGCAGAGCCCTCTGGGAGTTGTAGTTCCGGATAGAGGCGCTGTGACAGAGGCGGCGGGCTGTGTGCGCCTCGGACTCCATCCCCCGCCAGCCCCCGCGGCTTAAGTCGTTGCCTCTTCCTGTTTAGGGGACAAGTAGCCCGACGGCCGACAACTGCAAGGTCTGCGAAGGGATCTTCGCCTCCCGATCGGGTTTTCCGAGGTAGAGGGATTGGCCTGCTGAGGTACTGCACGTTCTCGCTCCTGGCAAACTCACCCTGGGACGGTCTGAGAGGGAACCCAGGCGAGGCGGGAAGGGTTGAGCTTGCGGTCAACCGGCTGTCCCTACTGAGGGATCTTTGGGATGCGGGGAGAGCCAAGCCCTGGGTCAGAGTGACTGTCCCAGAGAGGCTCGTGTCCCTCGAGTGGGTCGAGTGCGGGGAGTCCGCGGGGCTAAGGAAGTCTGGGTCAGCTCGAGTCTCTAGAAAAAGGCAGGGAGGGTGACAGCAGATCAGCACCCGAAGCCAGGATGAGAGGACTGTTGGGAAAGAAAAGAAGTGTCCTGTGAGAAAGAGCTAGAGAGAGAGAGGAATCGAGAACAGAAGCCTCCTGGTGTCTCGGACTACAGCCACTGGTGTTGTTATCACACTGGTGATATGGGCATTGCTCACTTGTGTTTGTACAGGTCCTGGAAATCCATCCCAGAACTTGGTAGGTGCGATAAAATCACTGTTCTACTAAGCCATTTCCCCAGCCCGTGAGCGAGTGCCCTGACAGTGGACTGCATGGTTTGTTGGCTGTCTTGCAATACTGGAGCTGTGGGGCAGCTAGGCAGATGCCTACTCCTCGCCTTACAAATCAGGAAACAGATCCACCGAGTTAGAAACTCCACTTATTGTCAATCAGTTATTAGCCAGCTTGTCTAAAACCTAACTGTGCTGATCCTTTGGCAGTGCACTCAGATCTACTTATCTCAACAATACATATGACAAAGAACTGGCGTGCAGAGTAGTAGGCAAAAAGATTTTGTTTGTTCATTATTTATTTTGGGTTTTGCTGTTTGTTTTCAACAAAACTTTTCAGTAAGTCAAATGACCCTTGTGAATTAAAGAGGAATTTATATGCCTTAGAAACAACTACTGCCAGATAGACTTGGGGTACACCTAAAATCCCCAGACTCAAGATAGTGAGGCAGGTGGAGGGATGGTTAGATACGTAAACAGGCTTTCTCAAACCCCAAAAGCCAGAGGTGGAGAGATGATTGGTCCCTAAAGTGCTGATCTTGTAAACATGAAGACCTGAGTTCTATCCCTAGCACCTTTGTAAAACACCAAAACCAGGTACTCTGCTGCAGTAGCGTCCCCAACACTGGGGAGATAGGAACAGCAGGATCCCCAGGGACCTTGCTGGCCAACTAGTCCAGTAGAATTGGTGAGCTCCCGGTCCAGTGAGAGACCCTGTCTCATAAGTAAGGTAGAGGGAAGATACCTGACTTCAACTGCTGGCCTCCGCATGCGTGTGTGCACACACATGAACATGTACATACACATACTCTGCACAGACAAGAACAGTCAGTGACTTCCACATTAACAAAGATGTCACATAATGCTAAGGAAATAAATTTACCTTGCATTCCCAGTTTTGCATGCCAAAGCATTGAGAGCAATCAGCTTTAGATTTCCTCTCAAAATCTTCAGTAGCGTGTACCTATTGTACACATAAAAATATCCTATTGTGGTTTTATAATACCCTAAGTATTCAACAAGGGTAAACTTGGGAAGACAGTATTGCCAACTAATCCCTTGAACTTCAGTACTTGGCTAGTAGTTTTTATCCAGAACTTACGAGGAGCTAGTGTTGCTGGTGTGGGAGGAGAGGTCCTTTGGTGCCATAATGTTGGTTTGGTGATTTTTAAACTGCACTGTGTCCAGCACTGCCAGATTTTAACATCCTTTGAGGCACTACTTCATCAGGATAGAAAAATGTTCTTCCAGGGACATCAGAACTGTAGACTTATGGCTATTAACTATTAACACACTGGTAAATTATACATAAGGAAGGAATTTGGGTAAGTGTGTTAGTAGACTCTATAGGAGATTTATAGAGAAAACAGATTAGGCATAAAGTAACAGCTTCTACGAGACTGCCTTTGTAAAATGATGTGATTCCCTTGCTTTATGCTATAGAGGTAGATGAACTCTGACCAAATTTTACTTGCTAATGACTATATTCTCCTCTTATAAAATGTTATTAGAGTCTAACTATACACTCCCATTTCCATTTTCTCTATCACACTAAAAGGCGGGATTGAGTAATTGCAGACACACAATGCTTGAATAAGCTTAAATAATTTCTTTATGCCCCTTTTCAGAAAAAAAAAGTCACTTTATGGCTTAGTAAACTGAATATAGAGTATCTGAAATTTTATAACATACATACATGTATTAGATAATAACTAATATCAACCTCTGAGAAAGAACATACACTCCTTGGATGCTTATGTCCATAGTAATATTTATCTTACCACAACCCAGTCTATTCCGCAAATTGATGTCAGCATCTTAGCTAACATAGATACTACAGATTTGCTTATGGTTATTTATGAGGAGGGTGTTAGAACGTCTAGGTCCTTCAGATTGTAAGCAGAGAACACTGAAGGTAAGCAGTCCCAGACTCTGTCCATGACGCTACCACCAAGCACAGCAAGCCTAGCTCCTGCGGCCTGAGGTTGGAGTCAGCTTGAATTATAGTCACACATTAATCAGCCACAGTCTCCTTTCTAGTAACTCTGTGACTTTACCCTACCAAGTCACGTATGCAGGTCATAGATTAACTTAAAGCCCCATCCCCTTAAGATGCCGGTAGGAGCAGGAATTTAGTAGGCAGAGCTTTATTAAAAGCCATCCTTGCAATTTAGTTTGTTGCAATTAAATGCAAAAAGAAGTAAAAGGGCAACAGTGTCCTGGCTATGTTCTCAGGGTGGTGATGGGAGGGGGCTTTGTGGGAGCCAGGTGGAGCCTGCCAAGACCGACTCTGTTGTTTTTTCCAGACCCTGTCCTTCCTCTTATCTGGTCAGCTTGGCTGTCTCATACCCAGCTGCAAGCCTTTTCATTTCTTATCTCTAGTGTTTCCAGCTTCGCCCTTTTAATTGTGACATTCATTTTAACTCACAGTTGTTTTTACCTCAGTATCACACAAATTAGGTAAGCTATCAATTTCCTTTCAGGACTCATCTTGGTCTTTTCATGTTATTCTCACAAAACACCTGGGTTGAGTAATTTATAAGCAGCAGATTTAGAGCTGACTGTTCGGAAGACTCGGGAGTTCCGAGGTCAGGGTGCAGTTAGTTTGAGTGTTTGGTAAGGGCCTGAGCTCTGCTTCCAGGGTGGCTCCTCCTTGCTATGTTCCCACATAGTAAAAGAGACAGAAAGGCAAAATGGGACTTCCAGCTCAACCCCTTCAGCCCTTTTATAAGGTACTAATCACATCTCCTAAAGGCCTCTCACTACTGTAACCCTGAGTCATCTCTCCAGCCTTGGCAATTACTTTCCACATAAACCTTGGAGGTAAACATGGCAGTACCCCATACTAAAACTAGTTTTAAACAACCAGGAACTCTTATTGACTTAGCTTTGGGTTAAGAGTCTTGAATTTGGCCAGGCATGATGGTACACACCTTTGATCCCAACACTCGGGAGGCAGAGGCAGGTGGATCTCAGTGAATCTGAGGCCAGCTGGTCTGCAGATTTGAGTTCCAGGACATCTAGGGCTGTTACACGGAGATACCCTGTCTAGAAACGCCCCCCACCACCAAGAGAGAGTCTTGACTTTTGAATTTAGAGCTTTGTTTTAAAGCCCAGAGATTAAATACTAGAACTAGATGTCTATCTACGTCACCTTGCCGGTTTGATGCCCACCAATTATATCATTAAGACTGCAGCAAAGAGTTACTATATGAGTGGTTAGCATTTTTGTCATCAATAGACTATTCTGCACTCGAACTTGCAGTTCAGAACACTTACTCCCTTTTCAACCTACTTCATCAAATATACTCGTTAAAAACCATAAATTGCTTATGGAGCAGTGTTCCAGGGGAAGTTGAAGTTCAAACTAATTGGTTAAGACAATTGGAAACCACCAAGTTCTATACTCATTTTTCTAAACATTATTAAATATTTGATAAAAGAGGCAATAAGAACTTTGTACTTCTTGTTTATGAATTTCTTTTTTCATTTAAATCAACTTTTGGGCTTCTTTGGGGTGAATCACCAGTTTTACTATGCCACAACATTGCAGCATTGCTTGAAATAAATATTCATATGTGGGTCACCTAGAACCTCTCAGTTCCTGAGTGGCCATCATGACTTCCTTAGTGTCAGCCACTTCTTGGTAAGGCTGACCGACAGAAAAGAATCTTCCCCAAGATTCCGTCTCTCCCACCTTAGTAGTGTTCAGTCCCTAGTTAGAATATCTCCAGGAATGACAAGGACCCACTCTTTCTGAACTCAGACAAGTCTTAGTTTAGTTTATGACTCTGTGCTGCAGAGTTGGCGTACAGATAGGAAAGTATAGCCACCTACCTCTTCCACTTTTAAGCAGGTTTGGTGTTACTCTCGTTTGGCTGTTGTCCTTTCTCCTGCTGTAATGATCCTGGAAGGACTGATGGTGCAAGGGGAATACCCTTGAGACCAGGCAGGAGTGTGTGTGGGTGGGGAGCTTGCATCAGGAAAGATTTGTCTAAAATAATTACCTTAAAGAAAACAAACCCCATGAGTTTAATTTCTAATAATGAACACATAGAAAGGTAATTTGGTCATCTTAGTCCTATCTATGTTTAGAGGTGAAATCTATTCTGTCTGCTGTTTGTCTCGTATGCACACTCTGGATGATGATGACTTGCTTGTTCAGATGGCCCCTGGGTCTTTCGGAGCGCTTAAGCTCCTCTTAAGACAAGTGTTACAGTGTAGAGGAAATGGCATCGGGCATCACACTGACCTGATCTCAGTCCCTGCTGGGGCTTTATTAGCTAAGTGATCTAGGACAAGTTTCTTCTCTGAACATCAGTTTCTTTTTCTGTTTTCCCTTATTCTTTCCTTCTCTTCTTTCCCCTTCTTTCCTTCTAATGTGAAGAAAGTAATTTGTTTTTCCCAAAATTCAACAGTTTAATCAACATCATACAAAACAGAAGACAGCAGGAAGCATTCAGTTAGATATAGCAATAGTTACATCTCTCCCCCTTCTACTCCGTCTCTCACCCCCTCTACCTCATCTCCCACCCCTTCTACCCCATCTCCCACCCCCTCTACACTATCTCCCACCCCCCCCTACACTATCCCCCACCCCCCTACACTATCTCCCACCCCTATTCTACTGACAGATGCATCCTTTTCTCTGAAGTTCCTCCAAAATGGCATGCAGCTGTCCTCTCTAGAAATAAGTTCTTTTCCTTTAGTACTATCTTGTTTGTGATTGTTCAATAATTCTAAGATCAACATTTTATTTCTTTTCCACTTCAGAACTTGTGCTCTTTATACCAAACAACAGCAAATTACATTGCACAGCTCAATAGTGGTTAGCATGGTTCTAATTGCTTATACATACAAGTTAATATATTTCATAGAAACACATTTATGGGTTTGAGATTTTTTTTTCAAATAATTTTTCCAAAGTTACCCTTTTTTTCTCTTCACCCCTTCACTGCATGCTATTCTTTCTGATGAGAGGCTGCTGCTTTCCACGCAATCATCTTTCCAATTTCTAAAACACTTTTTTTAACTGAAAGAATTTTAAAATTGTGTAGGGTATAGCAGCACCCTAAAAGTAACTAGCCTAAAATATGTTTATAGCTTTCACGACCTTTTAATTCCATTCTGCTTCGCCAATAAGTAAAATGTTTCCCTCCTGGGTATTGTATATGGAATGTTTTTAATTAGTCATATTTGCACTTTGGAATATTAAGGAAACAGTGGAATGTGAGTCCTCACCGTTTAACTAGGTTAGTGTCAGTTGTGACATAAAGGAAATAGCTCTGGGTACCAACATTTCTGCTTTCATTCTTCTCCGTGGCTTTGCTAGCTAACTGATAAAGACAATTTCTTTTCTGTCTTCAACTTCTTCTTTCTGTTTCTTCCACCTTCCCATAATCTCACTCTCATTTTAGCAAGGCCAACTGACATCCAAGAATCTCCCTAAATTTCTCCTCTTTCTAAGTAGAATTCAATTCCTAGTTAAACTAATCTCTGAGTGTTAAAAAAGACTTATTTTCTCTGAATTCAGGCATGTCTTCAGTTTAGAAACTAAACAGAGTGGGAGCTGGGGTTCTCAACTGGGCTGCAGAAAAGAATTTCAGGAAGAGTCGGTATGACGAAGATTTCACTCTATCAGGAAGAGATTTTAAACCCAAATTTAAGCATGGGTGTTAAGAGAAGACAGCGTATGAAAAGTCAGTATGCCCAATATGTGAGCTTCCCTGGAAGGTGGAGGTTAAGAGCAACGTGTGTGTGTGTGTGTGTGTGTGTGTGTGTGTGTGTGTGTGTGTGTG